CTCTTCTCCCAATAATTTTTACTAGAAAAGCATACCTCTACCTTTCTCTAACAAGCCAAGTTCTTTCGTACTTCCAAGCCTTTACATACTTTGAACAGAGTGCTGAAAAGCAAAAAACTTTTCCTTTTCTATTTCTTCACAAATACATGTTTATACCTGGCATTCTGTGAAAGTGTATGAAAGATTGCAAAGGTCATGTGATGTCAGTCAAGCTCAATTATATGAATCTGAGGGTAAAATATAAATCTTCCTTTCCCAGAGAGAAGATATATTTTTGTTTTGTACTATAAAATAAAGAACACAATCCTATCATCCAAAATTCAAGAAAAGGGGGTTAGTATACTACAAAAATAAGTACTTTATAATTGCTCCAGCTATGAGCTCAGACTTTCTATACAAAAGTAATGTATTAATAATGATAGGACTAAAAGACTTCCTGTTTTTAGAATATATAATTTAGAAACAATTAATATTCACTATCTCAAATAATCTTTTGAATATCTGAGTGAAGAAGCAAGGTAGAAACCATATTACAACAGAAATGTAAGTGCACTAACAAGAATCTTCTTCATTGCTATATTCTTTGAACCAGAATATTACCTAGTATAGTGGGTTCTCAACAAATATTTTCTAAATAAAAAAATATAAAGTAATGAATGAAGTTATCACTTTATTTTGTAAGGACAGTAACTGAAGCCAGTTGAGAAAAGTTCACTCAAAATCTCACAACTGCTAAATGGAAGAATTGGGACTTATGCTTTCCTCTAGATACAATGTCTTAGAATGTTCATTCCACTACATTGCATTTCTCATACTTGCCCAAAAGATAGAAGGAAATTAGAACACAAAAATGAAAAATCTCAGACTATCTTCAGTATTTCCCAAACTCCATATCACCGGTCTCAAAAGTCCTCAAATGAAACTCATCTTTCTAGTCATTCAAGCACAGTATTTTTATTTTATGCTACCCTATCCTACCACTGTTGTTTGAGGTACAGCAAAGTAACAGGTATGGAGACATATAGGTACAGCCAAATCAGAATGGCATTCATATCAGTGGGGTTCCATTAAATAATACATCAGTTTTTCATACTGCTGAGGCAATCCAGAGAATTGTGGTAGGTAAAAATTCCTGGATGATTAACTCTGGTATAGTTTACACTGAAGAAAAAGAGGAGGTTTAAGGTATCTTTCCCTCATAGTCACAAGACATTTCTCTCTTTTCCCTACAACACCTCCAACTAGGTCTTGACATGCCGAGAAACAAACATCTACAAATGCACTTGCCCAGAGCTCATTTTTTAGATTTAAAAGTTAATAATAATGCTGGCCAAACAAACTTTAATAAGTCACTAACTTAAACTGGATTAAAATGCCTAAAATATAACAGAGTGATATCTTTTGAAGATTTATTTGTAGGTCATGTTATTATTTAATCTTAAAGACATGAAAACCACATAAGCACAATCATGATAGAAATATCAATTAGAATTTTCTACCAATGCTAGAGAAACAAAGCAAATGAATACATTTAGAAATAAAAAATAAGTGATTTTTATCGTGTGTAAAATTTTAATTTCGAAGAGTGATTTATGAAACATTATTAGTCACATGAAAATTCCTGAGAGGGGCACCTGGGTGGCTCAGTGGGTTAAAGCCTCTGCCTTCGGCTCGGGTCATGATCCCACGATCTTGGGATCGAGCCCTGCATCCGGCTCTCTGCTCAGCAAGGAACCTGCTTCCCCCCTCTCTCTGCCTGCCTCTCTGCCTACTTGTGATCTCTCTCTGTCAAATAAATAAATAAAATTCTTTAAACAAAAAAAAAAAAAAACAAGAAAATTCCTGAGAAAAAATGTGAAATACAACTCATCTAAATCAGAAGGTATCCTTAAAAATCATTAACATTAAACATTAAATTAGATAAGCACATTTAACACAAAGAAAAGCACCTCAAAGATAGGGCTATGTACAGAAAGATACTGAATCTCATAAATGTGAGGTACTTTGCCAAATACTATGATGCAATCCTACAGAAATTATGTAATTTGAGTATAAGCAAATAGTAAGAATCATATTACCAATAAAGAACCTTATTTCTCTTCAGTTATTATAATTTTTTATTTTTTTTAATTTGGATCACACCTACTGTTAACCTTGATTTTACCAAGACTAATCACCTCCTTAAGGTTATGTGGCAAGTAATTAAAATTTCATGGATGATCAGGTTTAAACCAAATTCCACTATTCTTCTGTATCCATTATACACTGTATAATGTATAGAGAGTGAACTGAGCTTTAGAATTCAATGCAATTTACTTTCAAGAAATTACATTAAACAGGATGTCTTAAAATAATGTTCAAACTACCACTCTAAAAGCTTTCTGCTTTATATTTTTAAGCTTTTTGCTTTAAAAGCTGAGTACTGTTTAAAAGACAAAAGAAATAAAAATGGTTCATTCATTCATTAAATAAATAAGTTGGTTTATTCAAAGCCCAATGAGCAAAATTCTGTACTAAGTATGATTCCTGACCTAATGACAATCAAAGAAGAAAAAATAAATAAAATATAGTAAACACAAAATGACATGATACAACTGAATACATATAAACAGAGGTGTCAAGTAATGATAATAGAACTGAGATAATTAGGAAAGTCCTCCCTAGAGAGATCATTATTAAATAAACTAATGCCATTTTAATTGTAGGAAATTACACATAGGCAAAAAGGAAAGCATTTAGAGATTTTGCAAATATATTTCAAGTGGAAGACTTAATTGGGGGACTAATGAGATCAATTTGGGTAAGATAGTAAACCTGACAAGACTGATTTTACATTCAGTGTAATAGGAACTATTATAACTCCTTGGATGACAGAAGAGTAAGATGAGGAAAACACTAACTGACGAAGGTATGTTTCTCATATCTACATGTAGGACAGACCATAACACTGAAAATAAAACCAGCAACTGTTGCAGTTACCCAACAGGTAAGGTGATGAAGGTCTGTGTTAATATGGCTGAAGGCGGCTTCGTGTAGCCAGATGACAGGCTGGAGTTCTAGAGAGCATGATCTACTTGCCAAAGTTCTCATAAAAATCAACAGAAATTCCTGGGTTATCAGTAAACTTTAAAGCCAAGAGATCTTCAGTGCACGGCAGATCAAGAACATCCCACAGCCACAGTTTCAATGGTACATGAAAGGCCATTCTGTGACTTCTATGAGGCGCCACACAGCTACCTTAGAACTGAATAAGAAAAGTAAAGCTTATTTCTTTAATCATCCCAGAGTTGGTGAACTAGATTTTAAAATCCAATTTGACACCTATGCAAACAATAAAGTTCTGTTATAAATTCAAAATTGTGTTCTTAACATATTATGCTGCACCCTTCAACTTGGTGGAAGATCTCTGTGATATTATTGTTAAGTAGGAGTTAATTCTTATTGGTGAACAGGAGCCAAAAAGACTTCAAGAACATGCATTCCTGATGCCAACAGTAAAGGCATAATGACTCTTGCTCAGTGATTGCCTATTCCATCTACCCACTCGAAACACTCATACTTGCCCAGGACTTTGGGAAATTCAAACCGGTTATTCCACTCATGCAGTCCTTCTTAGGCGACAACCCATTATTTGGTCATAAATTACAGGAAGCAGATACACATGAAAGTCACAAACTGTTCTGTCACATCAGATTTTACCTTTTTTCTACTGAAAATAGACCCCAACCTGCAGAACAATAAAAAGAAAAATCAAGCTAGCAATTAAATTTTTTTGAAGGAAAAAAAAAAGTAGAAACTACTCAAAATTTCACGTTTTATGACCACAAATACTGAATAACCCCGTATTCGTAAAAGTTACCTGTTACCACGAAATCAAAAAGAACTCACACTAGCTACAATTAAGTAAAAGGAATCACAAGTCTTCAAGCCATTAATAATGATCAACAAATCACCAGCAATGTGACCAGAAGGTAAGAGCTGAGGTCCAGTGTCTAATGAGAAAGAGCATCTACTAAAGAGATGACCAAAATGACTAAAGAGATCTCTGTGCTGACCGATGGCATTCCCCATATCCTAAAGAAGAAGGATAGGTCAAGAGCACAGATACACAAAAAGAACAATCTAGAGACAAACCTGGCTATAACATAAGTGTGAAGGCTTAGTATCTACCTAAGCAAAATTATAAATTAGGTATTTTTCATTTGAGACAAGTATTGGGTGTTTACATTACCTAAGCAGTGAGGAAAAATGAAATGTCACCAGGATCTGAAAAAGGTTCTCTAAACTTCAATGAAATCTTGTTTTAGTAAGAGGTCTTTAAAACAACAACAACAACAACAACAACAACAACAACAACAACGTTTTAATTTCCAGAAGGCCAGATTCAAAAAACAGGACTGGCTTTGCCCACAGCCCCATGTCTAGGGAAGGATTCTGCACCAGGCCACGCAAAGTGTCCAAGGCAGAAGCCACCCACAACGCATTCCCAGCCTCTTCATCGTGTCGCTCCAGAAACCAAGAGGCCCTGATACCGAGCTTGTTAATGTGATCGGAGCCTTTCAGAACGCATTTCTGCCGGGATGCACCAGTAGGGCCACTTCTCTCCAGAGCAGCCTCCAGCAATTGCCAGGCTGAGGGGAACCGGTAAGTGGGTGGCACGTTCAGGCTGAGCTGGCAGCCCACCTGCTATCTTCATCGAAACAGCAGTCCACGCACTCAGCCTGACACTACTTTCTCCGGCTTGGCTCCTGAGAAGCCAAAAAGTACTGTAAACAAGTTACATCTTCTTTCCCCAAACGGGATGCCGAGGTGCACCAGGACCGGGCTCCCATCACACGGAGGGGCGCGGCGCCTACTGGGCGGCCCCTCCATTCTGCGCGCACAGAGGGCCGCGGGTGCCGGGAGAGCCGGCAGAGGGGCGAGGCCGAGCCCGGGACCCTCCGAGGGCCTGCGTCTGAGCGAAAGCGGCCGCTGGGCCGCCAGGTGGGCGGCGGGCTCACCTTGTTGAGGTGGGGGTTCCGCGTCACGGCGTAGCCGCGCTGGTGGGTGTGGCGGCGGCGGGGTGCTGCGGGCTCCATGGCGGGTGCACGGGTGCGGTGCGGGGTCGGACCGGGGCGTGCGGCGCGCGGTGCAGGCGGCGGCGGCGGATGCTGCTGGGGCGCCCGCGCTGACTGCGGCGGCGGCGGCGGCCGCGCTGGGAAAGAGCCGGCGGTCGGGGGCGGGCGTGGGTGGCGAGAGGGGGTGGACGCGGCGGGAGGAGCCCGCGAGAAGCCGGTGTCCCCAGCCGGGCAGCCTGCGAGAATCGCTGAGTCATGGCAGGAGATCAGCCGGGCCGGCGAGTGAGGAGGAGGAGGAAGAGCGAGGCTCCGGCGGCGCCGCGGGTGCCCGAGGGGAGGCGGCCGCGGGAGTCGCTCCCTTCCACCCACTGGGCTTCTGGTCACAATTGTCCTCGCCCGTCGCTGCGTGGGGCGTGCCTCCGTTGTTCGGGGAATGCTCTTACCCCCCGGGACCTACGCGGGCAGCAAGGCCAGGTTCCCCCGCGCGCCCCGGTGGCCTTGTGGGTACCGTCGCCCCTGGCCGAGGGGAGCCCTTGGCGGGAGCCCCCAGGGAAGCTGGGAAGGAGCGAAAAGGAGAGGTGCAGGCAGGCACAGCGGCTGCGGGACCACGGGATGGGAGCCCTCACGAAATGGACTCGGGGGCTGTGTGCAGAACACCTCGACTGACTGCGACTCAGACCGCTCTGTCCCTTTCTGTTAGGCGGGCTTCGAAGCTCTGTCCCCCATCCCGAGGCTGGCCGCGCCCGGAGGCCGGACAGAGCCAACCTTGACCCAGAAACCAGAGGCCGGAGTAGAACTGGGAGAAAGGAGAGTGTGGAGCCGGGACACTGAGGGAGTCTGTAGATAATCAGTGGGAATGTTATTTTAATATAATTAAAGTAAAAGTCAAGGTGTGTTCCGATGAAGATGTGTTAGGGCCCACTGAACGGTTCCATTTATCTTGTATATAATTTTGTGAGAGTTAAGAAACCAGGATGTTAAATGAACCTCTTTGAATATTAATGAGTCACTCAATCTTTAAGGGCTTCAGTTTCTTCTTTGGTCAAAGGAGAGGGCCAGAATAAATGATATTCCAGCACTGAAATTCTGTTATTATTGATATTTAGACTTGAAGTTTCAAGGAATGGAGGGGCAGTCGGAACTTGAGACACGCAAAAACCGCTAAAGGTTTCTGTGCCCCGGTTTCTTTTCTAGGTAAATAGGATCACTAGTTTCTGCCCTATTCATTTCTACCTCATGATCGTACAAAGGACAGTATTAGGAATTGATTAGGGGTTCGCTTTATATTGCCATAAAGTAGACACCCATCTAATGTTTTATGATACTTTGCTACAACTGTATTTTTGGGCCACACTTCCATCCAGAAGCTTCTTGGGCCTATTTTTTGAATTCCTTAGAATCATTTGTTTCAAGGGAGAACATTTTATTAATGGGGAACATTCAATTGGCATCAGAGTTCTTTAAAAACATTGCTTGCGTTTAAGCAACCCTTTTCACCAGGAATGCTGCAATCTATAAATATTTAACCCTACCTGTTTTGGGGCCACACTTCCATCCAGAAGCTTCTTGGGCCTATTTTTTGAATTCCTTAGAATCATTTGTTTCAAGGGAGAACATTTTATTAATGGGGAACATTCAATTGGCATCAGAGTTCTTTAAAAACATTCCTTGCATTTAAGCAACCCTTTTCACCAGGAATGCTATAATCCATAAATATTTAACCCTACCTGGGAGACCTGAGAAGGTATGCTTTACAAAACTCACTCCTGGGAGTTAACTGAGGCATGTTACAATTAGAGTGCTTTATCAGAAACAGAAACAGTTTAATTACAGGCCTAGTAAGCAACATAAGATGCTGAAGAAACAAAAATGTCAGTACACCGGAACCTTATTACAATGCCCCTCGCATAGAAGTTACCTGTCTATGTTACCTGTCTATTCCTGTTTCTATGATGTATGATGTACAGATAGGAAAGCTGACATAAATATAGGGAGAAGCTCAAAAAGTATGCGGGCTCTTCCCCCACACCATCACTACAAAGGAATTACAAGATCCTGTCAGTGCAGGTAAAGAGAAGTAAACATACAGGAGATGTGAATTTATGAAGGGAAATCCAGTCTTCTTGAATGCTAACAGTATGGGGCCTAAATGGGGGAGCCACTTTGTATATTCACGTGCAGTTCTAAGAGAACTGAGAAGCTCTTTTTCCATGCACATGCTATCCAGAACATCAAATTTCTGTCCTTTTTACTTGTTTGTAAGGTTAGGTTTTAATGTAAAAGCAAAACAAACCCAAAATTTTGGGAAAGAGAAAAAAAAAACTTGTTTTAATTTTCCTTTTATGAAACTACAGTTGTGCAGTCAGCTCATAATTGGTAATGTTAAGGTGGGATTCACAAACTAAGGGATTAGAACCTTTAAGTTTCTGTTACACAGGTGAGAATACTGTCAGTCAAAATAAAATTTTCTTGCCCAATTTGATGCACAATGAACTCTAGTCATTAAAATAGGATTATAGTTTTCTGATCTATTATCATTGAGATTAAGTACTAAAAAATTTCAGGAAATACAGCACATACAGCATTTCAAGTGTTTTACTTTCTTGGTAAACATAAAAGAACATAAAGCTCCCACAAGGAAGGATTAGTCTACATCATTGGTGTATATTTGCAAAACATTTCAACACCACGAATGTTAAGTTTCAAGATGGGCATTGGAAATGTTTTACTTTCATGAGGAAAAAGATAGTCTGATAGAAAGATGTGGCTATAGGATATCAAGTAAATGATCCTTATTCATACAGAAAGCGTGTTACTGCTATGTTAAATAAGTGATTTTTAAGTTGAATACCTCAAGATGCCTGGTTCTTGATGTGTTTCTGCATGAAGTGAAGACCTTCAAACTTTTGAGGTTTTGAGAATTCCAGTGTTCAGCCTATTAGGAAAAAGTCCACCAGGAGAGCTGACCCCAAAATTTGAGAATTTAGTGTAGGCAATTGCTTCCTTGGCCAGCCCCAGGGTAATTGCCAACCAAGGAAAGAGTTGACTTTTTGCCTGCATTCTGCAGTGAGGATATGACTTAGGTTCTCAGGTGGCACTCTTTAACAAGAGGACATCAACAAAAGAAAAAGTTTATTAATGTTTGCAGTGCACATCACACCCAAGAAACCAAAAGCAAAGAATAACTCAAAGCAGCAGCTTTAAACTATGGTCTATATGGGATCTTCAGCAAAGAACAATACATTTATAGAGAAATGACAGCACGAAGGAAAGCAGTTTTAGGCTTTCAAAGGCAGCAAACTAGAAAGGCAAATATATGGGAAGAAACTAATAGTAAGCTTTGTTTCCTGATTTCTCTTCCCCAAAATATTTATTTTGGGGTGACCTACCCCGGTTTCCTTCACTAGGCTTTTTAGTTGGCTCTAAGGAGTCCCTGATGTACCAGGCTCTAAGTTATTGGTATCTGAGTATTGTAAGTGAAATGGGTGTAGGAGTCATTTCATTAGAATGTTTTAAAAAGATGTACCCTTATATTATTCTTTAAGCAAAATTTTGTGCAAAAGCCCCAGAATGTCTGGAGCCCTGTAGAGCTGTTTGGTTTTCTTTTTTTTTTTTTCCCTGAGGAAAGTGGTCTTACTCTTTAACAATTAAAAGCATTATTCCCATTAGAGATAATGTAATATCACCTCATTCTTACTATGCACTACAATCATTACAATCACAAAAACACATATTTGTATGTACATACAGACACTGCATGGTGACTGATTCTGGAATAAACCCATACACTAAGTCACAGCACGTAGAGATCATTTATTTCTTAACTGCTCATTTATACCTGAACAAATTTTCATTAAGTATGTTATTAATTTTCCAATGACATAATTTGGTTGTAATATTTTATCTTGTGGAAGTCCATTTGAAAAAGATGCCAGCTGTTTCACTTACTTTAACACTAGTATATTCTGAATCATTTTATACAGTACTTGTATAGAAACTTAAAAAGATATATTTCCCGTGAGGAGACAGTTGGTTTGTAGCATTGGTGTGTATTTACAAAAACATTTTAACACTACAAACATTAGCAGTTTCAAGGTGGGGCACATGAAAAGGTTTATACGTTGCTGAAGTGATGCAGGTGTACCTTTTACAGAGTTAAAATGGAGTCTGGAGACAATGAAGGGAGAGTTCTCACTCAGTGGCACTCCCAGCAGCTTACCTGGCATACCTCAGCGGGAAGGCAGAAGATTCTCTCGCCCAGCAACAGCCCAGCCATTGAGAAACCACATGACCTTAGCCAATGAGACGCCCTCGAAACCTCAATTCTCCCTCTGCTCAGGTGAACTTTTGTTCAAAGCAATCCCTCCCAATTTCCTTCTTTTCTCTATATAGGGATACTCTTTTTCCTTCCTTCTTGGGACTTGCTTTATGGTTTGCCCTAATTTGCAGTCCCAAATTGCAATTCCTCTGCTACTCCTAAATAAATTTATTTTTTTTTTTTTACTGGTTAAATAACTATTTTGTTTTTAAGGTTGACAAAATTTATCAATGAACTGCTTGATATCCATCATTTCCTGGTGACATGAATCATGCATCATGCCTTCATTGGTTTTTAAGGTTACATTGGTTAGATTTACCAAATTCTTTACCTTCCATCAGCAAGAGAACCAACCATTATGGAAACCAAAGAGTGGTAATCTCCATGGCACAGAATAAAAATATCTGTTAGCCTTTGATAGGACTCCATGGAATAAAAGCCCACGGGGGAAGTCAGTGAGTACAGGGATAGCTGCCAACTTCTGCTGTGTGGTCCAGCAGTACATAAAAATAAAGCTCTGCCCTGAGAAAATCCTCCCCAAATAATAATGGTAAAAGGAATGCCATTCTTCACTCCTGCTCTATCAAAGCTTTCACATATTCTGCTAACTCCAGGTTCACCCTCCTTTGAATCTGGTGAGAGCCCAATAATGTTAAACCAAGAAGGCATAGCCATGGTCACAGTTAATGTAACAGGCGTAATGGGCACATGTAGGTAAATAGATTTGATACATGAACTTCTGATACCTGC